CGACTTGAGACCATACACATAAGTGAAATAAACCAAACTCACATGTGTAAGTACCATACTGTCTCTGTAGTATAAGAAACTGAAAAGTGAGTATGATCCAAAATGTACAATAAATATTGTTTAAGGATCAGAAACTGCTCGAAGAGAAAAAGTAACTGAGAAAGGGGAGAGGAAAGACAGAAGGGAAAAGGGAAAAGACATAAGTTTGTGTATGTACACTAAGACAGCTAAAATGACTACACTATTAATAGTATTAGTTCCTGGAAAGGAACGGCTAATACTCATATGATTGGATCAAGTTTACATGACTATATCTGGTAATCTAAGGTAACAATATGCAATACTACAACCATTGTTAAATTCCTATCACCTTGTTTCAAAAACCTATACTGCTAATGTTTTGGGGTTATTGTTGTTTGTTCGTCTCTTTTGCTTTTTATTTTTCTTTTCCGTGTCTTTTTTTCTCTTACACAAAAAATTAAAATAACAAATAAATAAAATAAAATAGGGTTGGGGATGTAGTTCAGTTGTACAGTACCCTTGGGTTCAGTCCCCAGGACAAAACATAAAGTCCTGGCCTAACACAATGCACCTATCACATGCTACTGTGGTCTAGCACCTTACTCCCTGATGGGTCAGAACAAAGGGAAGCCTGCCTGCCTTCCTAAGGGAGAGCAAATGGAAGATCTGGGAATCTTGAATCCGTTCACGTTCCCATGGCGTAATTCCCTGACGACCCACGATGCCACAAGGTTTTTGGATAGCAGTGAATATGCTGAGATGGAAAGCTCATGTTTTTACTTGGATGAATATTGAAAAATCAAAAGAAAAAAAAAAATAAAACACAATAACAATCCAGCAGTTTCCCTAGCCAGAGATATGCTATCTATATGACTGTGGTCCCAAATTTATTAAACAGCAAGCGCCAGGTACAAAGTGCTGATGTCCCTACTGTATGTGTAGTTTCTCCCTGCCGTGTAGCTGGAGATTACATTGAAAACAGGCCACACGTTCACACCATTTTCCTCCAGTGACTTACAAAATTCATAAATAAAAAAGTTAGAAAATAAGTCCTCAATCCTCATCTCTTTAGCTTTACATCCTATTATTCTGGGTAACTGATATGTGAGAAAACACTCTCAGTTTCAATTTAGCTAAACCTCTGACTCACAGGGAACAGCTTTTAAATTGTTCATACACCTCTTATCAATCAGCTGGGTCTGTGTAAAGGAAATAGGAATATCGAAACCCAATCATTCCCTCTGTGAAAAATCACGGTGTTTCTCTCATCAGAGGCAGATCAGATCCTCAGATGTACATAGCTTTTCCCCTAGATCTCCAGTTTCGCAGATATTTCATCTTAACTACAGCACTGTTGAATGGATCTCCATGATTTTTCCAGGCAAGGGTGAATGATACAGTACCTGTACTCGGGAAGCCTCGTGGTAAGTATTCCACCACTAGAAACTGACACACAGTTACTGTGTTAATTTGCACATAGTAAAATAGTGTTCCTCAAAAACACAATACTAACAATAGGCTAGACAGAGTCCAGATCCATGTTTTAGGGAATGAATCATGGTACTTTTATTGGCCTGCAGTATTTTATCCTTTGTTATAAAAGGATATCAGAGTTCACCTTCCAGAGAGAAATGAGGAAAACTAAAAATAAGCAGGAAGGAGACCATAAAACCACCCAAGCCGATCATTCAGTGAGATCTTTTATGGTTGGTGGATATCTACTTACTACATTCTAGTGGGTCATTATTCTTCAGTATAATTCATCATACAAATTGCCACGAGGTACAATTTTCCATCATCAACAAAAACCACCTAGACTCCATGACAAAAGTGCTTGCTATGGTGGTATGAAATGGATGTATATTTTAACTTTTTTTTTATATTGCTATGTATGTTTTGAATACTTTCCTTTCAAGCTTTGTACGACTGGACACAGACATTATGGGATTTGCATTAGGTGAACTAGGGCAGAGATTCATTCATATCTGACTGAGCTAGATGACTTCAAGGTAGCTATGTAAGGCTGAAACTAGCTTTTTGTTTTATTAGCTTACTCTGCAGCAAGAAAATAATTAGGGTATGCAATTTGTAATGGGCCTACCAAAAGGAAGCAGAAGACTTAGCCTGGCCAATAGGAAGGCAGGCAAGTAAACAGCTAAGTAAACAGACACACATACACACAAAATCGACTTACTGAGATATAAGTTACATACCAGGCAATACATTCATTCTAAGTATAGAATGTATTTTTTTAAAACACAAGATCTTTTAGCCTTACAGAGACCAAAAGACGTCATAGAGCACTGCCCGCTCACTACAGTGCAGCTCAGAGAAACTGAGCTGAGCCACACAGATGGTCACACAGATGCGGGTGGCAAAGTAGGGAGGGGAGGCTCTGATAAAACCTGCTGATTGGTTTGTCATTACGAAAAGCAACTCACCTTTGTGTGGAAAAAAGATTTCACCTAGCAGCCTGTGTACAAGCAACAGTCCTGGGCTCTTGACTAGTTAAAAATGAACATCCAACTGCTGACTGCAGAGGATACAGAAAAGGAGGAAACGGAAGGGGCTTGGAAGCAGGAGGGTGGAGGGGGCCCTGAAGGAGCCACGCAAGGGTTTAATGAAGTGCAAGTCTGAGGAGTTCAAGCAGCTCCAAGCAATGTTAGCGCTGAGATGCTGACAAATAAAATTTATAAATGCCTTTTAAAACTGCTTCCTCTAGTAACGAGAGTTGTTATTGTCACATTGATTTTGAAATTAAAAGTTATGGAATTTCCTTGCTTTAATGAGAAGGCAGATCCACCTGGTAAACAAAGTAATGATTAAAGCAATTAAAAGAATAAAGATGAAAAATAAAGTAACAATATTCCTTAATCTAAGCAGGCGGGTTTGGTTAATATACTAAAAAAGATGCAGGTTTATTTCAAGGTAAAAATATTGAGAAGGAATGCTCACTATGAAAAACCCTGGCCTTGGAAAGAGGGAAAAAGTCAATTAGTAATGTCATCTGTTTAAAAATCAGCCCACACCTGTTTCTCATTTGTCCTCCAGCTGAGAAACCAAAGACAACATTTTATTGCTTGTGGTCAAAAAGCAAGTTCATTTCACCATGGGATGATCAAACGCCCACAGCCTCCCCAGCCCGAGAAGGTTTGCCTTTCACTTTCAACTTGTTCAATCATCATTAACTTGGAAAATTGTCACATTCCATTTGTGCAATGAAAATTTCAGCACTGGTGACCGTTTGGGCAATGTTTTTGTAGACAAGGTCCTAAATCTTAGAGAATACCTCACACATTCTCAAGGTCATTCGCCTTGTTTCCTTGTTCGGTGACAGTCACTTAAGATTCGGGAGGCAGTCTGTGACCCAACATCAGCATCTTTGAAGAAGCCTCTCTGTGTGGGTATGTGTTACCCTTTTGAAACTGAAAGTGTTCTCCGGATGATTTGACACATACATACTATAAAAATGAAAGCATGTGTACACATGTGTGCACATGTATGCACTCACATTCATATACAAAAACTTCTTATATATTATCTGTAGAAACGCTGGAATCTTTATCAAGTGGAAGTAAAAGCTTCATTACTCAGGATACCAGTAAAGAAGACTGTTGGATGAAACCCATTTAAAAGCAGAATTCCCTCATTCTGGGAAGCCAGCTTCCCTAGAGAGGCTGCATTATCAAATTGAAGAGATTAAGTTTCTGGAAAGAACAAATAGACTTCTTCATACTTTTGCCATCGGGTTGGGAAATTCTTATTGCTTTCATTAATGATTTAATTATAATTCCTCCTTTACTGAGTGGTTCTGAAATGTCAAACCCAAGCAAATTTGGCACAGGACCAAGTTCTTGATAGGCATTCTACAAATACGAAATTTTGAAACTGGATGTCAAGTGGCAAGATGGCTTAAATTAAGAGGTCACTAGATCCAGTGTCTTAAGAAAGCATAGTCTACTGGACAGTCAAGTAAGTTCTGTGCCACTTGGCAAATAAGTCATTGCTAAAACAAGTTCCAGTTACAAGTCCTGATTAAATTGTTAAGGTCAAAACCATGAGAATATACATAAAGAGCTCTCTAGAGCTTTAAGAACCTCAACACTAATATATTTATTAAACAGTGTTAATGAAGGGCTTCTTTGATTTCTAGTTCTAGCTCTGATTTCAGGACTTCATTGCGTTAGCTGCTGAAATAGGATTTTTAGAAAATATGGATTACAGACACAATGTCATGGTTTCTTTCAGGTAGCTCCACCTTATATTAGTATGTTTATTATTGCCAACATACAGTCTTTACTAGCAGTAGAATCTGAGGGTAGGAGAGAAGGCAGAAATAATCTAGTAATTTTTCCCCAAATAGTCTAATAGCAGATCAGATCCTGAGTCTAATGGAGAATCCTTTGCTTCCTAATACACGAAAGAGAATATTCTACATTCTGCTGTGTTCTACACACAGTGAGTCTTAATTCTTGTAACATTTCCAGTAGATGAGGTAACTTACCCAAGGTCAAAGAACCCAGAAAGTCTGGGTCTAATTCTATTGTGCTACACAGCCACACAGTATTTTCTCAGGAAGACTTCTCAGGCTGCGCACCCCAAGTGCTTGTTTATCTGTAGCTCCAAGTGTGCAGATGGTGTGCAGAGAGAAGAGTGTTTGACCTTTGTTACCCTTCACAGGGACTGAAAGATAGAGACCACATCTCAAGCTTCCCTGCTTATTACACCAGGATCTTCTTCCTTGTTCCACTTTTGTGGAGGTCACCATTTTACTGCTGGCTCCAGAATGAGCTGATCAGATGTCCCTCTGTGTGTGTGTGTGTGTCTGTCTGTCTGTCTCTCTCTCTCACATACACACACACTCACACAGAGCTATTACTGTGCTTCAGTGAAGCTGTACAGGGTTTGTGATCAGCCACAAAAGCAGACATCATTTGCTTATTAGAGCTAAGTGTTCAGGACGTGCCCCATTTACTGACCTCCACTAACGGCCTGGGTTTTCGCTCCACTGCAAACCTGAAGTGGCAGAGTTCACAGTAGCTGGTGTTTGACGACGACAGCCAGTGCTCCAGGCAGCTCCGATGAATTGTCCCCAAGGTCCCTGTACATTCACATGGAGAGAGCAAGTCCTCTTGGCTGCTACCCTCATGGCAGATCCTGCACATCGGCCGGTCATTGAAGGGGCTGCAAGAGATGGAGGGACACCTGCCGGTCACTGGGCTGTAACTCACTGCAAAGTGGATGCCTTCAAGCTATGTGTCCTTTGGCCCTCTCCAGTGGTAGCTGCTCAACAAGACACTTGCTTAAAGACCCTTTGGGAGTTTAACCTTGACCTTGGTGGTAGGACCAGTGGTCCTGGGTACTCCTGAGCACCCAGACAATCTACTTTTGACAATACAAAGAAAGATGGGTTGCCAACATCAAAGCACCAGTTGTGGCCCAGGCCCAAAAGTGAGTGAAAATTAGCAATGTGTTATTTTTAGTCTTGGACATAGATGGAGCTCAGGCAAACTACTATTAAAAAGATAATAACAATTGTTCATCATTAAGAATAGAAATTGTTTTGAAATGGCCCCAACTGCAGTTTCTAGACAAACTGCATTTTTTGAAGCAGGCCAGGACACTTGTAAACCCAGTGGTTCCTACAGTAGGGTGGAGAATGAGACTGGGGAAGAAATGGCAACCATCTTTACAGCTGCCACACAGAGCCACAGGCCGAACTGTACAGAAAGTCGAGTGGTGGAAGGTCTGTGAAGCTTTCCGAGGATGCTTTCTGGGATGGCCAAGACACAAAATTGAAAACTAGTAATGGATATGTCCTGCTCGCATGACTTTGATTTTGGCAAAAACACTCCTGCACGTTTCATGAAGGCAAAGTAGTACAGTTAGTGCAGGCTTTGCTACCTAGTCGCCAGGTTCAAACTCCTACTTCGGTCATTACCAACCAGCTAAATCTGGGAAAATAGGTTAGTAACTTCATCTCCCTGAACATTTAGTCTCTTTAACTCTATGCCCCATCACTCTCTTTTTCACCATCTTGGATCCAAAGGGAAACAGACTTGGACGTACCAGTTTCTCAAAGAGCTTTCCAAGAATGATCCTGAGAATGAGCCAAGGCTGGAAGGGGACTAAAGAGGAAAAGACACTTCCTTCCCTCCTGCTCAGAAGCTCATTTGAAATCAGGAGGTGAAAGATGGATGAGTGGCCTTTTTTTCACTCGGCCTCCTTCATTCACTTTGAACCATGTGTATATAGCTCTGTAACCTTCTGCTTTGGATTACTGGTAGGAAAGCAGGAATAAGGCCTGATACCAGACAGCCACACTGGATCGCAGTCTCAGGCACCTCCCCCACAGCCTGTCCTGCCTGCTCAGCCAAGGTGCGTGATGGCTGCCCACGTGACTAGGGTATACCAGCCATCCAGACTCAGCTAACCATCATGTCAAGTTCTGAGTTCTAAGCTCTAAGTTTTCCGGTATCTAATAGACATTCTTCCATTTCTTCTCTTTGTGACATTGCTAGAGATTAATCAGAAGGCAGACGATGTTGGCAGCATGGATGGGTGTGATTGCAAGACTGAGGGCCACCATTCTGGGCGGTAGTGCTGCCAGTAGTTCTGCTGCAGGCACATGTTTAGACTCGGGGGTCTGCAACAGCAGAGGTGAATGATCAACTAGGTCGAGGGAAAGGGTCAAGTGCAAGTAACTGCTCTTAAATTTCAGAGTCAGCACTGACACTAGGGAGCCAGTCTGATGGTAACACATGGTTTACATTCATAGGTCAAACATTCCACTTAGTTATTCTTAAAGAAAGCTGGAGAAAGCAAGGCACATCTATTACTAGCTTGGTAACCTAGAGCTCACAGTCTGCTGTGGGCCAATAGCAGCACAAGAGAAAATCCTAGGGACAGAGTGCCAACCTGGATGAACAATCTCTGGAGCTGCACAGACCTTCATTTACTCTTGCTTTGGTCATCACATGGGAAGACAGCTGTGGAGGCTTTAACAATTACATTAGTTCACAGGGTAGCCTAGATATGAAGGGTCATGGTCATCCATAGTGGGTGAAGGAGGGGAAAACAGAGAGGCCCTGGTATGGAGAGAGGAGACTCATGCAGGGAGTGCTCCTGACCAGCAGATCCACCAGGCAATTCTAATCATCATGAACCCCAGGAATGTTACTTCAAAAGTTTTGTCAACAAATCCAATCACTTTGGCTCAGTCACCTGAAACCAAGGTGCCTTCTTTATTCTGTTCTAGCAAAGGACTTCTTTTGCAAGCTACTGGAAACACGAGTGTAATTACCATAGCAGTATCAAAACAACAAATGTAAAGCAAGCAGCCCCATGTCTTGTGGGATCCTTTCCCCACGCTCTCTGCAAGCATGACTTTAAGCAGAGTACCAAGCAATGTGTATTTTAGCTTTCTGTCCTATTGCTATAGAAATGCAATGACAAAACTTGTGTAGTTTTCCCCCCAGCATCTCCCTCACCTGACACAAAGACCTGAGCACTAATTATATCCCTTCAGCATTTTCCATCTGACAAATAGTTCTCCAGATCAATTACAGAGTCATTTATTTTAATTGTGGTACTACCTCTGGGTGGCAAGAGTCCGCACTACTGTTGACAGCAGCTGCCCGTCCTTGGCTGAAACTTGCATGACATACTGTGGCTGCCCAGTCACTAGGCTGCTACAATCCTCTACAGTCTTCACGGGCACAGCCGAACTGGTGCAATCTGGCAGGACTTCGGGCAGGTGACTGCAGCGGCTGGTTGTCATGGCAACAGACAGCAATTACTCTGCTAATGGCTTCCACATTCATAGAGGATTTCCATCTACAGAAGATCGGAAAACAGTTTATTTGGGTGGTTAATAGAAAATGGAGAATTACAGGCTCCCTGACACCATTTTGTCACTATTGAACCCAAGTAACAGGGAGACACAGATGTGGCATGTCATCTCATTACCATTCAGTGGAAGTGTGTGCACACACACAGGCACACATGTACATGCACACAGCCCACAAAAAACAATGGACACAGTTATGAATAAGATAGCAAACATGTCAGTGTGTAGCAACACCAGGAACCCTGCTTTCCAGGAGGGCATGGAGTGATGGCTCTGAAGCTTGCATCTGAAGAGAAGAGAAGCAGTTGTGTCCCACACCAGAGAAACAGTAAGTCTTTGTTCATACTCACTAAAAGTTACTAGGCCCACTATTAAAAACATATGCAACTATTTTTTCTGGTAAGTAATTTATTCTCCATGCAGTTTCATTCTGAGATACGAAGATTAAAACCAATTTGGCCAAGTAGCACATTCTAGGACATAACTGCCAAACATTAACCATCTGATTACTGTTCCACCTTTCTGATTTCACTAGATGGCAATACGCAAGTACAAATTTGTCTTCAAAATGAACTTCTTTCAAAAAGTCAACCTACTTTAGCTTTTCTTAAATAATGTTATTTATGAAATGATTAATTCAGCTTGTTTATTTTTTCAAATGGATATCAAAATATACACACTATTTTTGTTTATGTACTACTTAAAATCCAGAAGATGCATGTGTCATCATAAGGCAACACACTGGAGAATATTAGAAAGTGGTGAATGAGATTTTTCACTGATTCCAAATAACCCATAATTAAAGAGGACCTTCCTCCCTGAAAGACTCCATCATGTAAATGGCAAGGGTTTCCAATTCTCGATCTGTGAGGTGCAGACATGGGTCGTGACCTCAAGTTCAAAGCATTAAGGCCCACTGGAATAAGGAAACCCACTGGAATCAATAATAGGTCAGTATATGTGAGGCATAAGAAATGAAAGTTTAAAAGAAAAACTTCATGCAGGATGGAGAGATGCCACAATGTCACAGCTCACACAGGTCCTGTCTTCCAGCTTGCTCACCTCAGGCTCCAGGGCAAGGCTGGTTAAGAGTCTGAGCTCATGTCAACAGCCAGTCTGGGTTGTCAAACCTCCAAGTTCAACTAAATGAAAATCTTATCTTGCCTCACTCCCCACACTCCAGAGGATATTTGGAATTCCTCCAGGGGTGGTGTCCTCCTGTCTACTTGTCTTTATTTATTACATTTTACTTGAGCCCCCACAGGTCTCACAAACAGGATCTTTCCAACTTCCAGAACAACATGCATCAACTGGACATTCTTAGTGTCGGAATGCTATGTTCACAAATGACCTGGAGCAGGTGGCTGCCTTCCCAACAGGCATGTCAAGCAGGCTTCCCTGTCAAAGACAACTGAACATGAACTTCATCTCCTCTTCACTGTGCAGCAGGCCAGTTTGCCTCCCTTTCCCATCTCCCTGGCTCCCGTAAGTACTCTCAGGGTGGGCATCTGCCCTGCCTGCAGCCTCTAGAACTGACAGTGGACAGAGGACGTGGACACCAAACCTCAGCTGAGGCCTGACACAGGCACACAGGCGAGGCCTGCCCTGCCTGCTTCACTTTTAGGATCACAATTCTGCACCTTCAAAGGAACATGATCAGGGTTAAGGCACAGTTTTGTTTTTAAAATAGTATTCATTATTTTATTTTACTCTGTGAATCCAAGAAGTAACATTACAGAAAGTACAGAGAAAAATAACAAAATTCACTCACAATCCTATCACTCAGGTAACTAGACTACATTTTGGGGGCAGATGTCTTTATTTTTTTGGCAGAATTGGCAGGGTGAACTTTATTTGTAGTTCTGGCCAGAGAGATTTTCTTTTTTCTTAAACAAGTGATGGTAGCTCTCAGGCCAACAAACAAAAAGATGTTAAAAGCCATTCCTCTTCTAAAATTGTGTAACTCCCTCTGGCCTACCCTGACAAAACCCTATTGACATGATTTTAAATTCTTAAAATGCCTCACAACCACAAAGTGTAGCTTTCTGGCACAGCTCTCTGGTTTCACAAGGCAGCCATAGATTAAGCGCCAGGGATGTGTTGGCACAAAAGGCAGACACAGTGACCTTCTTGCCGAATGGAATCATTATGCTGGGTTCACTCTGAGAATCTATTTTTGGGTTTTGCATATCTCCACCTCTGAGGGCCCAAGTCTCCCTCCCTCCCTCCACCTGATGGAACTGGGAGGGACGGGAGGTGCACAGTGTGTCTCTGAGGCCTTGAGCGGTCAGGAGTTAGGTCACCTCATGTTCATCCACCGGTAACTTAACTAGGTCCTAATAGAGAAATAGCGCTGGGATGGGACATCGCTCCGTGGTGGAGCACCTGTACGTGTGAGGCCCTGGGTTTAATCCCCAGCATTGCAGGAAAAGTGAAGGGAAAGAAAAGTCATTCTAAATATGTGCTCTAACTTCATGATAAAATGTTCTTAAAAATACTGCAGGGCCTGTGATGGCACAGGCCTGTAATCTAAGCTGCTTGAGAGGCCACGGCAGAGGATCAAAACTGTGAACCTGCCCTAGGCAATTTGGCAAGATTCTGTCTCAAATAAAAAAGACTGGGGCGTGCAGTGGATTTGTGGTAGAACACTTGCCTAGCATGTATGAGGGCCTGGTACTGGGAGAAAAAAAGAAAAATTCTACATGTGGAGTTTTCCTTAATTCATTTTGTATCTGATTTTGCTTTTGGGTGACATACTTCATTTGGCTTGTCTTCTCACAGGCAAAAGGGATATCATCAGCTACTTGATCAGTGGGTGCCAGGTACTGAGTTCAGTTGAAGGGACACGGGCACCTCTGACTCTTCTCCAAGCCAGCCCTGGACCTTTCCCTTATGCCACCTCTGCAGAATCCTGTACCCTAGATCCTCTAAGCCCTCACTGGATCGAGGACTCTGCAGAAGGGACATTCCAGTACAACAAACCAGCACATCTGCTGAATACCGCAGAACAAGCTCGGGATAGGAAAAGTGGCATGCCAGCAGCACATCCTGACCATCCTAAAAGACTATGCTTTGAATTAAAAGTGGGTGGGAGAGACTGCAGAGTGGAAGCGTGCTTGCTGTCAGCGGGGATGGCCATGCTGGTGCCAACCACAGAAGAACAGATCTTTTTTTCTTTTGCTTTGCTTTTCTTCCTTCTTTTTTCTCCTTAGTGCTAGGGCCTCATAAATGCTAGGTAAGTGCTCTACCACAAAGCTACACCCTCCCAGCACTTTTTATTTGGAGACAGTCTCACTAAATTGCCTCTGGGGGTTCCCAGTTTCTATCTTCCTGCTTTGGCCTCTCAAGTAGTTAGACTATAGGACTGTGCCCTCATACTGGCCCTACTCAAGTGGAAGAGAAAGGAGGGAGGGAACTCTGCTCTGATCTCAGTGAAGGAATCCCAGGAGAGGAGGCATGGGGCCGCAGGAGTGGCCTGCAGGTAGCATGCACCAACTGGCCTGCCTGTGTTGCACCTGGGACAGGGACAAATGGACCACTGCATTTCACCATCTCATTTAGAGCCACCTGGGAAAACAGGCTGATACTTGGATGCTAAAAAGAACTGAGCTATCAGTTTGCAGTCTAGCACTGGTCTTCACTGAGCTTCTGTAAAATTTCAAGCACCATTCAATTGATTCCCTATCAGTACCAGTGCACTGCTCTCATGGGAAAGTAGCTCTTCTGGCTTTTCAAGAATTCCTTCTGGAACTTCTCAGGACAAAAACACAGTGCTGAGAGAATAGTGTATGTATATACTTGAAATCCTTAACTGCTCTGGCAGGACAAGTCCTTTATGGACCAAGCTTGGTGTCTCATACAATTTCTTTCTCAGGTTGAGAATAAAACATGATGTGGCACTGGCCAAACTCAGCAGTACAACAGTGGGGAACAGTGGGAGTAAGTGGACAAGAAGGACATGGTGAAATCAGAGGGTGGCTAAATCAGTGAAAGCCTAATGAGAGTATTGTTAAAATAAAAAGGTTTGATTCCGGCAAAGGACTGAGTACAGGTCCACAGGAGCAGAAGGCTCAACCAGGTGACAGCTAACTGCCAGTGAGTTTCCAAAGCAGGCTTCCACTGGTAAGTGATTTCCATGGGAACGTGGCTGGCATCCTGAGGGTGTGTTTTGAGGACATGGGAGAAGGAAAGAAAACCACGCAGGAAAGCATACCCTGCTCACCTCTGCAGCCTCTGTGCACTGGCAGTCACCTGATCTTCCATAGGATTAGGAAGTTAGGAAGAAAGCTCTGCTTTTATAAGTACAACATCCAAATCTTTGCCCTAGCTCACTACTCACCAGAGTAAATTACTCAGCCTTTTAGACTTTCCTTAACCTGAAATACTTGAAGTTAGTGTACTTATGGACCAAATATGGCCTGAACCACTTCATCTAGTAAAACAAAAGGTATTAGTTTTCAATTGCTATAACAAAATACCTGAGGTTGGGTGACTTATTGAAAAGGTTTATTTAGCTCACAGTTTTGGAGGCTGATGGTCCAAACAGCATGGTGGTAGCTCTCACAATGGCCTCCCTAGCTACATCACATATGACAGATGACATCATGGTGGGGATTAGTACAAGAAAGAGACGAAGAAAGGAAAGCCAAGAAAGGAAACAGAGAGCCATTAGCAACCAGGAAGTCTTGATCTTTTATGACAACTCACTCTCATAGGAACTGAGATTCCTTGGGAATTTTTTGAACCCTTCTAAAGGCTGCCCCCAACAACCTGATTACCTCCCACTGGTTCCATTTTTTAAAAGTTCTACTATCTTACTATCACTGCCACACTACAGGTTATTTCTAACACATGGATCTGGGGAGACAAACAATATCTAAATCATGGCACAACATAACACATGGGAACATGCTTTGTCAGTTTCAATGTGTCATGCACACATTCTTTAACCTTGATTCTGGCTCTTTTTATAATCTGAGCTGCATCC